CCACCACCCCAGTTCTGTCTCCCCACCTTGCTGGTTTAATGCATGTCACATCCTGACTCAGTTCAGCACACAGCTGTGTGAATGTCTGTGCTGGGCAACAGCCCACAGACACAAGAGACAAGCGAAGAGAAGAGAAAAAGGTCAGCAAAGCTTCTTTTAGCAGCATTAGCCTAAAACAACCGTGAAACTACAGCACAGGATACACTTAATACGCCTATGTTTTGTAAAGACATTTATAGAGTTGTTTTGTCTCCATCACGTGGCAAACTGTTGTACTGTATCAGGAAGCCATCAGCATTTAAAATGCAGAAAGCATGCACAAAATTAATTTGCGCTTTGATGACTTAGTATCATCTTTCACTGTCAAACTACTGATTCTTATAATCAGACAAAGATAGCAAGTGCTGACTAAAGTACATAGGGATGCCATGCCCAACTGTTCTTAAGATCCCGTTTTCTAAAACACAGTGCATGAACCAGCTCAAAGGCACAGAAAACCTGAGCACTGTGACTCTCTAACGGTCAGGCTGCTTCAGCAGATGTCCTCGACAGAATCTACTCATTGATGAATATTTGTCATTTGATTTCTGTGCACAGCTGGGTATGCCTGTATGCGAGATACAACTTCAAGAAAGGAACTCAATTTCTTAGACCACAAGGTAACTTCTCTTAAACCCCATTTCCTTTTAGTCATTCTATTCCTTTGTTTACCCAACAAAGAAAACATTGCACTGTTCAGAGTTAGACCTAAGCTCTCAGTCAATGCTCCACTACAGAGGCAAACCAGGAGGTTTATGTGGTACTTACATCAGTCTGCAAAAGTTTATTATCTAAAGTTAAAAGACTATGAAAATTTGTCATCCATGTTTCCATGTTATCTTCAAAAAACTCGGGAAGATCCTGTGAAGCAAAAGCATAAACCTACATTTTAATTTCCAACTGCACTACTTAGATAACACACCTGCACTGTAAGTAGTATGTATCCACCTTACCTACTGAGGGACAAAGTAGCACAGAAAATAATCTTCAAAACAAAACACTACCCCCTCCTCTTCTCAAACTAAACCCCACCAGACAGAGGCTTTGGAATACAGTATTTCAAAACAAACTCATTGCTTACACCCTGTACAGCCTACAGTTTTATAATAAAGGAACCTTATTGCCTCTTACTCTCAGAACAAGAAAGCACAAGCCTCCCTTTGAATTCCAGCTTGCTCTTTTGCCCAGCATGGAAGAACAGCCCAAGCAATCAAAGCGCGATCACATCACACCTCACAAACTTGTGTTTGTGCTGAGACACTAAATATGCCACCTCAGCAAAGTACCTTTATATAATTTTTCATATAGTGCATCTATGTTAAAAAGTGTTAGAAATTTAGATATGATTTCAAAACAAAAAAACCCCACACTGCTACCAGAATTACTTGCTTCTATAGTGTAACAGACCTGCTAGTTTTAACTGACTTTCACCTACGTGGCTGAGTTCATGTCGGTACAGACATAATTATAAAGGAGCACGGTGAGCACAAACTCAGGCATTTGACTTCTGTCTTTCACAGCTGGTACTCCAGCTCCTTGCAATGACACGGTTTAACTCTTGAACTCTTGTTTAGATTGGGCCAAGCTAATGTGTTAATTAACCCCATCCTTACTGTGCCTTTACTCCAACGTTGATGCAGACTGTCAACTCTTATTTTTGCGATAAAGCACGGCCTTAAAGGCTGCCTCAAATGGATCCCATAAGTACGAGCATAACAGCTTTGTGAGATCAAAGCAGAACTATTAGAAGAACAAGGAGAGTCACCTGAAAATTTAAACTGTAGAACAGCTTCGCAATTAGAATGAGAGAAGAAAAGAGAACCTTCAAAGCACTAGCATCGTTTGCATGTGTGCTGCAAAGTTCAATAGTTGCCTAGAAAAAGACATAAGATTCAGTCAAGTAACACACACACAACACATACAAACCACATTGACAAGAGGTATTAAAGTGTCATGTAACATTTTTTTTTTAAGCCAGAAAATACAGTTCCTTTTCCTGCCTTTATCAAGCCTGTCAGGTCTCACTTTATGACTTCAGTTTGAACCTCATTAACAGTTTCAAAGCAACTGTTATTAAGTTTTCATTTTACAGGTATTCACAACAAGCAATTCAGAATGTTAAACTTGTTTAGAAACGATTCAACAAGAAATACCTTAAAGAGATTTGTCAAGGGCAAAGCAAAGGCATCAAGGACAAGTTTGATCTCTGTCCATAACTCGTTTGACTTAAACTCATGGCGGTACCTGACAAGTGAAAGAGAAATACATGAAAAATAGGATGCAGCCTTCACATTTATTACCAAATTAACTTGCATACAATTTTGCGCTGAACCTTGAAACAAATACTGTCAAGTAAACAAGACCTAAACAACGTAGTTCAAGACCATGCAAGGTGTACAATTCGACATCCACTTAAACTCTTATTAATAAGTCAGTAAGCACTTTTAAGTAGAAGCCACAACTGTAGACTTTGTAAGTCTACAAAATGAAGTCTAACAGTAAACATTTTGAGTTGAACAGAAATTTTACAATCCATATACTAACTCTCTTATTTTCAATACCTTTTAAATAAAGAGTGAGCTGTGCGAAGGACCCCATTAATGACATGGAAATCTCCACTTTGAAAGCGATTCACCATTTCTGTCAGTAAGTCTGGCCATTTCTGAGGAAAGTCTTCCCGACCAATAATACTAATAGCATCACTTAACTGGAAAAGAAAGATAACCATTACATGATGTAATAGCAGGCTCCTCATTAGAAAAAAAGCAGCAGTCATGCCAGATGTTGCGAACAGCTGAGAAAACGCTTGTTATTCTTGTCAGATTAAAAAAATCACTGGGTTAAATATCTACCACTTTCCAGCACAAATAAATACATCTCACTTTAAATTCAATGTGTACACACAGACTCACTTTCTGGAATTACTATATTTAACTGCCTAATGCTAGAACTTAGCTCTAAGATTATACAGCAATTGCCTATTAAAAGAAAAAAATTACAGTAGGTAGAAGTAGCTATAACAATATATTCCAAGTTTTTTTGATTGGGAGGACCTCATTGGTAAGGGAACTGAGCTCTGCCAATAACCAGAGCCTCTAGATACACTTAGAATATTCCTAAAGTCTCATGGACACAACCAGGAATTGACATATTACCTGCTTTTGAATTTGTTCTGGGCTGCTAAGCATCAAGGGCACTATGTTGGCTTTAATGGCTATCCTGTCTGATTCACATATTTTGTTCGGTTCATCCTCAACCTAAAATTAAAACAACAATTAAGTCATGGCCATACCAGTATACTCTAGGCAACAAGCGAGCATCAGCATTTCAGAAACCAATTGCTTATACCGATTTATGTAACTATTACACTGTTAAAGAAACCAAGAAGATCTGATAAAGATATTGCCTACAACGAATCCGTAACAGTAGTATATGAAAAAAGCTGAAAGAAATTACATCTTTCTGTAAAACCTTGAACTAGTTTTTTCTCCTAAGAGTGACTTTTGAAATCAGCAATTCAGCAGTAATAAGGGTGGGCACATATGCCAGTAATATACACGAATTTAACCAATAGTCTCCTCTTCCACCACACCAAATCACATCTCTGTCCTCGCTTCTGCCAGCCTCAAAGATTTATTTTGTGCAAGCTGCCTCAAGTCATGCTTTCTAGCAACGGTACATGAAGATGCAGGTTACACAATCAAAACTATAACACTGACTTTAAGAGTTACCCAATCAGTTCAAAATATCCATTGGTTCAAAGTCCTGTCAGTCAGTAGTGCCAAGTGGTAGTAAATTAAAGTTTCTACTAAAGAAATAAGAAGGAGGCTTGTCACCAACCAGTGACAGTAGTCTAGTGCCATTACCTGTGATGACAGCACCAAAGTTCAGACACCTAGAAATTATCCAGCAATTAAGAGGTAAGCACCTTCAGATGCCTTAAACCAGATGGCACTACTATCCTCCTCCTCACCTCCCTTTCAGCATCTTCCCATAAACTTAAAAAAAAAAAAAAAAGGTAGCAATTTCAAAATCTCAAGTTCTCAAGTTACACTCAGCTATAAGGCCAGTCACAAGTGGTGCTCCCCAGGGCTCAGTATTGGGGCCAGTTCTGGTTAATACCTTTACCAATGATCCGGACAAGGGGATCAAGTGCACCCTCTTTAAGTTTGCAGATGACACCAAGTTGGGCAGAAGTGTTGATCTGCTGGAGAGCAGGAAGGCTCTGCAGAGGGATCTGGACAGGTTGGATCGATGGGCCGAGGTCAACTGTATGAGCTTCAACAAGGCCAAGTGCCGGGTCCTGTCACCACAACCCCACGCAGCGCTACAGGGTGGGGAAGGAATGGCTGGAAAGCTGCCCAGCAGCAAAGGACCTGGGGGGGCTGGTTGACATCCAGCTGAGCACGAGACAGCAGGGTGCCAAGGTGAGCAACAGCATCCTGGCCTGTGTCAGCCATGGTGTGGCCAGCAGGAACAGGGAGGCGATCATGCCCCTGTACTGGGCACTGGTGAGGCCGCCCCTCGAATCCTGTGTGCAGTTTTGGGCCCCTCACTGCAAGAAAGATACTGAGGTGCTGGAGCGGGTCCAGAGAAGGGCAAGGAAGCTGGTGAGGGGTCTGGAGCACAGGTCTGTGAGGAGCGGCTGAGGGAACTGGGGCTGTTTAGTCTGGAGAAGAGGAGGCCGAGGGGAGATCTTATCGCTCTCTGCAACTGCCTGAAAGGAGGGTGTAGTGAGGTGGGGGTTGGTCTCTTCTCCCAAGTAGCTAGTGGTAGAACAAGAGGAAATGGCCTCATGTTGCCCCGGGGAGGCTTAGATTGGGCATTAGGAAAAATCTCTTCACTGAAAGGGTTGTCAAGCACTGGAACAGGCTGCCCAGGGAAGTGGTAAAGTCACGGTTCCTGGAGGTATTTAAAAGACATGTAGATGTGGCACTTCGGGACATAGTTTAGCCGGGCACTTGGTAGTGCTATGTTCACAGTTGGACTCTATGATCTTAAAGGTCCTTTCCAATCTAATGATTCTATAAACAAGCCATTATAGAAAAAAAACAAAAAAACAAAAAACAAACAGAAAACTTGCTTCTCCTCTTCTATCACACAGCACTGAATCAGAAGAATATATAGAATCATTATATATACATTAAAAAATGCAAAAAGAAGATGATCTTTAAAATCTAAGCTTTACAACTTTATATGATGTGAAAAGCAGCAATAACTGTACTAAGCAAGCTCCAAGTAGTGATGCAGGACTCACTGCTATAGCATTTAGACAGATGAGGACAGAAGTCGTGGAGAGGTCAGTCAGCAACAGCAAATCCTACTGTGGAGTTATTGATGACATTTTTCAAAGAAATTAGACCCTTTTATAAGGCAGCATATAGATGAGCATTCTGTACACAGTTTAAAAATAAATTTAAAACCCCAAACTCTTCCCTCGCTCCAGAAGTGCCCCTGACATCTGGCTCTCCAGGCTCTACCTAATTGAAGTCCTTGAATAGGCAAAACCCCTTTTACTTCCACTGAGCTTTATATGAGTCAAGTTCAAGGCTGCTAAATTAAACTATGTGATCTAGGTAAGCTAGCCTTACAGCTCTATTTTATGTTCATACAGCTAATCTTGAAAGGAAAGCTTAGATTTTGGACAAAACAATGTGCTTGAAGCTACAGAGCAATCATAACAGCCCTCTGGATGCACTTACTACATAGCATCTCCACCTACTCCCAAACAAAATTTCATCTTGAATCACATCAGCAATACATAAAATGAAGCCACTTAGAAATTTCTCCATAACAGAACATTATTTCTACTTACAATATACTACAGATAAAGATGCAATTTGAGAGAAATGACTGAGAATACAGTATTACAGAAAAACAGTTCTAGAAACTTCATGCCAGACTGAATGCGCTGATCTTATCAAACATAACCAGAGCTAGGACTGCTATAGCATCTTAATGTTAGTAGGAGGGGGAGGGCAGAAAGCACATGCAAAGTTTTAAACAGGTACCAGCTAAGATGTAATGATGAAATACTTAACAGTTTCCCTGTAGTAAAACAACATTATACATCTGATACTTTTCAGATACAAACAGTACTTTCAGTGAGAGAAAGTATAAACAGTATCAATTAAAACTCTCATCACTGAAGGAGCTGAGCTCTCAAATGTAGTACTTTCTACTGTAAATTAAATGTCATGAATGCTCAAAGCTCCAAATCAAAAGTGTTTCTGACCTCTTCAAAACAAAAGATAAAATTGAATTAAATGGCAACACTTCTATTTGATGTCTATGAGAACTTCTAAGTGTTAAACTGGCAAGGCCACCAAAATAAACTGTCCCACACTACTCTATGCCCCAGAAGCATTACACAAAAGAGAAGGTAGTATCATCATTTTCAGCTACGGTCCTGGCTTGAAATGTTTGTAACACTACAACAATAGATACAGGCCAAATTGGCCAGCTCGTTATAGACACTTCACAATCATTTTAGTTTAGATAATATTACTGTTAGTTAAAATAACATTTAAATATTGTGCTTCTGTGAAACATGCATATAACATTGGAGAAATTTATTTGTACATAAGTTTATCACCTGGCTTTAGTTCTTTTTAACAGAATGGACTCCAATGGTCTGGGTTTTAGTTCCTTGTCAGTAAATCACATCTTGTGTTTGTTCTCTGAATGATCTGCTTTATTTCAGAGTACAGACATACACACATTCTTCATTCAAGATTACTGTAGAATATCTTATTGTACCTTAAAAGGATTATCAGATCTTAGCACAACTACTCACTAGGATACCTACAATTCTCCAGTTCCTTTTAATATAATTCTTGAACGTTACAGATGCACAAACTTTGATGACATTTTCCTGTGACTTCTCCAGCAGCGTTAAGAGTAACAATGGATAATTCTGGCTTCCTTCAACTGACTCAAGAAACTTCTCCGCTGTAAGAGAATATACTAAGGTTAGCAACAGCTCAACTGATTTTTCTAATGGGAGTCCTATGATTCCTCAAGTGTCTACTTAAAATAATCAACACATGAACACTTCCTCAGAGTTTCACAAGAACAGAACAAGTCTGACAAAAGGTACTGTAGCTTCTTTACTACTAAGCTCTTTAACACGTCTGCTATGAACAAAAGCTCTCAATTCAAAGAAGGAAGTAGAAACACTGCCTCCTCACTGTTTTTAAAAGCCATAACCTGCTAGAAGTAAATCTTGGTTTATTGTGAATAGCAGCACTGTTTGAAATAATAACAGGACAAAAAAAAAAAATCAGGAACACAGGAAAATAAAATTATAAAAAGCAAACAAAATAAATTTATATTTACATTCATATTCATTCTTCATCAGTATTTTGGTTTTCTGTTTCAAAAGGATACAGAGAACTTCTGCAAAGAGGTTACTGCATAAACATCCACTGAAGTTTGCTACATACAGACAGAAGAGCCAAAAACAAACTAAACTTTTTTTGGTCACTCATAAGAATCACTTACCAGGACGCCTTATAGCAGGATCTGGATCTAGTGTTTTCTTTAGATACTCAGTTAAAGTCTGTAAATTGGCATCACTCAGCTCCATTTTGGCAGAACCTAAAACCCACAAGTTGTTTTAAGACAGATCAGAAAATCTATCCTATAAGCTACGCATATGTAAAACTAAATTCCACAGAAGACACATCAGCTCTTTTTGACTATACGCCACAAAGCATGGTCCTATCTTGTATGTCTCATCCAGTAAAACAACAGCCAGTGTGCATCAAGCACAAACCAGAAAACATTCCATTTCTTCAACTACATATAACTGTTGCCAAGTTTATTGAAACCAAATTCCTAGAACAGGATCACACATCCAGCAAACCATGAACCACGTACAGCCAAAAGACGATCTCTTGCCCTTTCAGGACAACAGGAGTTTGGTTTTGCTTTTGAGAACTAATGTCAGCCCCAGAAACCTGTTCCTGGTTGAAAAAGCTGAATAGTCCTCCCCTACACAATTGTAAATAACTCAAGTCAAAGTGTATTAGAGAATCAAGGCTTGTTTAAAATTAAATACTTATTATCAAAGAAAATTCTCAATGGAAAATTAATTTTTTTATAGGGACAAAAGACTGTGCAAAGCCAGAGGGTTTGTCCACCCTCTAAAATTTAGATTTGGGTGGGAGTTAACTTAAACTGCAATACTTATTACAGAATAACTGTCCACTGAAGACTAAATTACTTCTTTCTAGTCATCCTCCCACACACATTCTCATAATTACCACAGTGAGATATTAACTTCACAGCTTTAATTGGAATAATTAAAATTACAGCAACTCTAAAACAGCAGCAAGACATGCTTTAATGCACACGTTGTTGCTCAGGGTATCATAATCAATTCTGTCCATCTTTCTTACCACCAGCAGCACAGTTTGCTCACTACAGAAGTAATGACGAAATAAACATTTCCATTTTTTTCTCTTGAGTTTCTAATTAGTAAGACAGGCTGAAATTTGGCTGTCCCACTTTGGATTTGTTTAATGTTGATTACCAGTGCAATAAATACAGCTTCTATTTAAGCATGCTTCCAAAGGCAGCCAGTTTTAATGACACAATTTTTGCTTTAACTATGGCATCTATATAATTACAAAGAGACAGCAACAGTATCCTCTTGAATTAAATGAATGTTAATGAGTAATTGAGATCCCAACACATTTCACAAAAAGCAAAAAAACTCCTAAAATGTCCTGCCTCCCCTGTTTCAATCCCCTTCCCTTTTGGGGGCTTACTTGTCTGTAGTCTTGTTCACTAATTCACATCAACCAACAAAATCCCAAAATCTGTTCTACAAAATGGCCTCATGCATCATCACTATGATGTTGACATTAATACTTAAATCTTTCATAATTAAAAAAAATGTAAAATATCTGCTTCAGGGATGTTTGTACGGCTGAGGTGCAAATTGATGCAGAAATCGTTTAGGAAGACTAAACTTGACTCAAACGGGAAACCAAACTGAAAGGGGAGAGGACAATTCTGAATGGCCTTTTACAACTACCTCACATACATATGTAATATAGGGGCCCACGTGAAAAACATACACGTCGAGCTGACTGTGAGTTTACTCTGAAGGCAAAACACAAATATTTGAAGCCATTACTCAATCCCTCATACAAAAGGATAAATATTTTCACCCGCTACCTATTCACTCTCACTTCTTCCTCTAGTTAATTCTTTTTGGTTTCCACTACAAAAAAATGTTGATACTTGCTAGAGTGATATGATGCTTTTTGCTATGATGTGAGATAACGTCTTCTGAAAATGCCACAGAAAATGAGAGTATTTTCAGAGACCTCTCCAGAAGAAAACCCGTAAGATGTGCTTAACACACTAACTACTTTAGTCAAATTAATGACAGATCACTTATGGGAAAAAAAAAACAAAACCAAAAACAACAGAAAACGGTGTCCTCCAAGGCTTACACTGTGAAGAACTTCAGACAACCTGCTCCTGCATCCACTCACCACAGCACTTACCAAACACCAACTACAGGCCTAAGGATGTTTACGGTCCAGATTTCATGGCAAAGATTATCGTTACACCACACTGGGCATCTTTACGCTTTCCACTTCACCAAACCGCTGGGGTCGGGAGACAAGCACCAACTGGCCACGGGAGCGGCAGGGAGGGCCCATCGCACCGCCCGCTCACGCCGCTTCCCTCCTCACCGCAAGCCGAGGCCACCCGTGACGCGGGGCGGCCGCCCGGGAGCCCTCCAGGAGGACGGGGAGAGGAGCCCTCCGGGACCTCTCGCTACTCCACGGGGGCGGGGCGGCCCTGTTCCCTCCGCCGCCTCAGCCCAGCACTCCCCGGTCCCATCCCCGCTGCCTGCCCGGCCTGAATTCGCCGGGCGTTTGCCCGAGGGACGGGGCCGCTCCGT